CCACCTGGTGCTACTATAGTTCCCTCAGGTTGGGAGGGTTTTCTTCTGTTTATTCATTCACGTCCTGAGGTGGAAAGGGCAGCAAGAGAGCCAAGTCCTCAGGGACTAGAGCCTTTCAACAGACTTAACTCCATCCAGCTAGCAGATGTGAGCCTAGGGCTGTCCCCCTCAGGTCAGTACCCCTTCCTGCAGAGAAGAGGCTCAGTGGGTTACTTCACCGCTCATCCTTCTACACGGAAACAGGGAAGCACACGAGCTCTCGCCAACCTGAGCGGTGAGACCGGGTTTTGTTCATTTTTCTGTCCCATGAGACTTGCTCACTCTCTGCCCTCTCCACCTTGGTCTAGCATCAGGGAGCCCTATCCTATTGTACGTGCCTCAGTTCTCCAAGAGGGGACAGGCAGGGAAGCAAGGAAGGGAACGAGGCCCAGCAGGGAGGACTGTCGTATGCTGCAGGGAGCCAGGTTAAAATGAGGGGAGACTCACTGAACCTGTGGCTTCTCGCCACTGACCACCTTCCTGGGGAGACAGAAGCCCCACTACTGAAAGCAAGAGTGGGAAGCACAAGGGTGGTCTTTTGAATGTTTGGCAATGATGGAAGAGGGAAGACAGCTGGGCAGGAGCCTGGGTCAGGGGACAATCTCTTTTTGGGTGAGTTAGGCCAACAGAAGCTGAGATGGGAAATACACAAGATGACAAGTGGACCAAGAATGGCTAAGTGAGGTAACTCAGGGCAGAGGGCAAGCATCAAATCTCTGCTCCAAAGCCTCTGGGTGAATCTCTCAGAAAAGTGCACCAAGAGGACTTGCGGTGGGCTTCCAGGCCTGTCCCACAGTCTGGGGAAGGCGTTGGAGTCAGAGAACCACTGGCGTGAAACTCCACCCTCTTCAGGCTCCACTCCACCCTCCCCAGCAGGGCTTCCACGTCTCTTAACGGCCTTGTGCTGCCACCTGCTGGACAGGGAACCATTTGCACTTGGTGAAGGGACTGCTTTTCTAAAATGGCTGCAAACCCACCACAATGTAAATCAGAGGTGGACAACAGGGAGGCCCAGGATTAAGAGGGGGCAGCAGTGCTTCAGGGGTAGAGCTCTGCCTTCCATGAGCTGGCTAGACTCCCGGCCAAGGTACCAGTCAGAGAATGCCTGCATATTGCTAGGATGCCGACCATGACTAGACTTGGCACTCTACTTCCGAAAGTGAAGCTTTCCAGATGCTCACGAGTTAGGGACCAGGCAAGGCAGCTAACAAGGATTAAGATGCTTCTGAGGTCCCAGGCCCCCAATACAAACCCTAGTGCCCTTTTCTGGCTCTGCAGGGGCACCACGATCCTCTCCTTGCCTGCTGTGCACAGGTTTATGGCGGGGCTGAGGTCCGTGCCCCACACACCAAGAGCCGACAGCTCTTACTGAGCAACTCTGATGGCAGGGTAGATTCACGCCTGTCCCTAAAATGCTAGCCCCACCGCGTTGATTCCACCGAACAGTAACCTCCAGTGCGCTTTCTCAGGGCGATCACCAGGCCTGTCTTCCAAAGTGCCACCGAACCAATCATCCCACCACTTGCACCGCCCAGGAACTCAACCCCAGGAGCCTCCTCCAACTAGGATGCTAGCAGCACTAGTTCCAAGCCTCCCGTTGAGGGTTCTCAACATTCCCCATCTCTAATTTAAAGTAAAGTTGTCTCATGGCGACCCCTTGTTAGAGCACGGCGCTCCAGGGGAAGCCAACTTTGCAGGGAACCTCAGCCTTTCTTTCAGGAGCTTCTGGGTGGACTCAAGCAACCAACCTCTAGGTCAGTGGCCATTTGCACCACTTGGCCTCCCTCACTCCCATTAACCACTCTGCCCTGTGCTCCACTGAGCGCTATCAATGGTCAGTTTCTAATTACATCTTCAGGCCCTTCCTTCAGAGGCTCCTCAGGAAGGGCTCAGAACCAACCTTTTGGTTGGCACTGCATGCCACTAACTTTTTGCACCATAGAGACATTCCCTCTCATTTCACAGCAACACCGGCTGTGCCACCTATCTCGGTGACTCTTCAGGACAGAGTAAAACTGCCCCCAGGCATGCCAAGGCTGTGGGTCAGAAGCCTCCTTTCTCAAGAGGAGCTGATTTTGAACGCCTAACCTTTTGGTGGGAGCTTTGGTAGCATAGTGGCTAAGGCACTTGACTGCTAACCAGAAGGCTGGCGGTTCAAACCCACCAGCCACTCCTCGGAAGGAAGATGGGGCAATCTACTTCCGTAGTGATACTGCCTCGGAAACCCAAGGAGGGATTGCTATGAGTCGGGTTTGACTCGACGGCACATCACCACCACCACCACCTTTCGGTTAGCAGCCATTGCCTTCACCATGCCACCAAAGCACCATCTAGGTCCCCAGATCTGTAGCAGCTTCCAGGTCCCTGTATGACCAAATAGCTTATTCCACATTTTAGGGTGACAAACCCACTGAGCAGAGTAGCCATCTGCAGCAGATCACCTCACATTAGGCTGCAGTGTGATGGGGAGATACCAGAGAGCTCTCATATTCCCAAAACTTTACAGGCTCTAGTTTGGGAGACCCATCTACAACCAGCAATGAGAAAGGGGCCCCACTGTCTCCCCAACCCTACTTAAATTAAGAATAGACACACTATCCCTCTGCAGACTCACCTCCAATACCTCCCAATACCTCCCTTCCCAGGGCCCTAGCCTTCTCCACTTCCAGTACCCGGAACAGCCTGACAAATGGTAGGGGACACAGTGCTTTTCTCTGCCAAATCCTTACAGGAGCCAAATACGAAATTGAAAAATTTAGAATTGGCAGCTGAGTCCTGAGGCTTTGGAATCGCACTGCGTACCTTCAAAACTTCAGCTTGGCACCTTCTGGGGCCAAGTGTGTTCACCATGTTTGCAGCAGGAGCAGGAGAAAGTGCTTTGCAGAACACCTCCATAGCTGTGCCTTGCACACAGCAGGGCATTTGGTGTACTTTAAACTCATTGCTGGAAGCCTTACAAAAAAATACTAGGTCTGCTTCAGGGATCATGAGGCTGGCACAGGACTGTGCCTGTGCAGTGTGTGTGTGTTGTATGTTAAGGTCAGTAGGAGATGACAATGGCACCTACCACCACCCTTGGACCCAGAACAGTACTGTCCCTGTCCTGGCAGAACCTTATTCCCCAGACCAAACTGTGCAGCACTCCAGCCCAGCCCAATCCCATTCATTGCCATTCCTGAACCTGTTCTCCAGAGACCTGCTTGACCAGCCACTCTCTTCATACCAAGGGCCAGCACTTCTGGGGGCGCCTGGCCCTCAGACCTGCTCCAAGCAGGAACAGCCACAAGGACTTCCAGGTCTCTCACGATGCGGCACCCGAGGCCTGCAGAAGCTGCTCCCTCTGCCAGCCAGCCACCTCAGCAAAGCGGCCAGGATGCCTCCAGCACTCCCGAGGGAATGGCGGGGGGGGGCGTGGTTAACAGGATCTGCTGGGCAGGTGGTACCGCAGCCCGCCCCCTGCAATACTCCAGGAGAAATGCTGTAGAAAACGCAAGGCTGGCACCAGAGGTTAGGACTTTTTTTAATTTGTCCCAAAATTGCAGAAGCAAAAAAATCACGATAAAACATCTGCTCTCCTCAACACTCCCCCCAACGCAAAAGTCTATCTGTAGGATGAAAACCGTTTTGTACAAAACCGGATTTCTCTTCCTGCAGATAGTTTTTTGTGTTGGCGGGATATAAAGGAAAACAGACCGTTTTATGATTTTTTGCTTCCACCAACAGCGCAACTCCCCTGAAATGTGACGGGTACAGATTTCCAAGCAGACCACAGAGTGCCCAACGGGTCTCGGAATGTCCTCAGAAGGCTCTGTCATGATCTGAGTAAAAACCCCAGAGTCCTTTCTCTCAAATGGAAGCAGGAAACACAAGGCAGAGCAACTACTCAAACTTCGTCTTCTTTCCTTGTGGTTTGTGGTCTCCTCCGCCACCTCTGCCTCCCCGGAAGCCCCCTCGCCCTGCAAAGAAAGTGTCATTAAAGAACATGTACAAGGCTGCTCATCAGCCCCCTCCCACAGGACCAATGCAGGGAACCCTGGCACTGGTTCTAAAGTACACAAGCCAGCTGGTACCAGCGTTGACACCAAGGCCCCTCAGCCTCACTTACCTCCAAAGCCTCCCCGGCCTCTGCCACCAAATCCACCTCGGCCTCCTCTGCCGTGGCCACCTCGGCCTCCGAATCCTCCCCTGCCTCCACCTCGGCCTCCAAAACCACCTTCACCCTTCGGCTTGGCCCAATCTAAGGTAACTTTGTTTCCGTCAATTTCACCATCTTCCATAGCCTCCTTGGCAGCTTTGGCATCCTCCTCGCTGTTGAAGTCTACAAAACCAAACCTGAAACACCACATGTATTATCTGATTAGCACCCATCTGCCGGGACAGTGATTTCTCAGAACCTAGCTTTACCTAACTGAGCAAAGACCAAGTGACAACAAACAAGTGATTTGGAAAAAACGACACTGGTTCGACTGCTTCTACTGCGGAAGTGTCTCACGAGCAGCGGGGCTGCACCTCTGCAGACAGAAGGTAAGCTGACAGGGCTAGCTCTGTGAATTGGCTCTTCTTCTCGTGCGAATCCATAAACTGCCACCAGTTGACAGAAAGGAGCTCATTGAGAAGACTGTCAGAACTGCCTGTTAAGAGGCGACTACTACCAGAGGTCTCTACCCAACAGGAGGACCCAATGCTGGAAGCAGCCCTGCATCTCCTGCTTGGATCAGTTTACCCTTTAGAGGAGCCAGTTTCCCGGTCGGTGACTATCCTGGCACGAACAGAACCATCAAACGACTCCTTCAATGTCTCTTCAGTAGTGTCTTCAGACAGACCTTTGACAAACAGAGTTTTGGATGGCTCTGGGAAAGAAAGAAGTTTTAAGTCACAATTCCTACCAACTAGACAATGCCCACTTGCCAAAAATGCCTGCCTTAGTGAAAACCAGCTTTTACTTAACACAGACATGCATTACTGGAGCGGGGGTGGGGGTGGGGTGGTGGTGGGTTTTAAAGCAGAACCACTATTAGGAACCAGGGTGTGGTGATGGGAAATTTGGCAACAATCATGTGAGGTGGCCATATGGCATAATAGGAATTACTAAACTGTATGCCTGACAAGTGTCAAAATGGGCAAATGCTGTATTATTTATTATTATTATTTTTTAAAAAGGACGTGCCTATAAACAGTTAATGTACAACTAGTTAGTTAACTGAAAGGGCTTGATCAACAAACAGCCACCTGGTATGTGGTCACCAGTGCACGGCTGCCAAGATGCCAGCCGTGCAGACTAGTGAGAAAGGAGTTTCACACAGGCCAACCGCAATCACCCGCCAGAGCAGCAAACCGCAGCTAAGTGCTGATATGAGTGGATGTATCTGGATCAGAACTTGACTATCTAGAGGAATGTTCTTGGGATTTCATCAATTACTTCTCAGATAATCAGTCATCATGTCCAGGACTGTCCACTGAGTATCAACAGAAAAAGGAGGAACTACTGGCAGAACAGGATGGCAGGCAGCACTGAGAGGCTCTCCCGGAACAACGTCCATGAAGGAACTTACGGCTTCTTGCATTGGGTGATCCCCTGGATCCTTGCAACTCCAACCTGATTGCTCTGCCCTCAATTTCTTTTTTATTGCAAGAATTTAAAGCTTCTTTCGCATCTTCAAATGAAGCAAATTCTATGAAAGCATACCTGAAGACAAACAGGCAATGTTTAGAAAAAGTTACCAAGCACCCAGATTCCTCTATCATTCACAGGCTGAGCCTTAATCAAGCATCCTCAATGATGCCTTTTATAAATTGCATCTAAAAACATTCTGCTTCTGCTGACAGGAACACAATTTTATCTTTTCTTTAAACCTATGAGAAATGCTCTTCTTTCTTACAGCCAACTAACGACACTGGCGCCGTTACCCTTTAGATTTGCCATTTTGGTTCTGGGGCACCTTGATAGCAGTCGCCTTCTCAAACACCTCCTGAAGAGTTTCTTCTGTTGCATTGTAAGAGAGGTTGCTTAAAACCAGAGTCTTTGATTCACCTACAGAGAGAGAGACCACTTTATTAAGGCTTGAAATAGTGGTTCCCAATCTTTGCCTCGGCTAGTACCTTATTCTTTCTTAAGAACACCTGTGCATTGAGACAACTAACATGCCAGTGTTGACATCAGCACAATCTCACAATTACTCAACAAACCGAACACCTGGCGTGTGCTGCTGTGTCTCACTTCCCATTCCAACCAATCACATGTATAGCCCTACTACTGAACTAACATATCTTCCTAGAGAGTTCCGATTTAAAAACCCAATCTATAAAAATCTGGTCTATGCAAAGCATAAAATAAACCTATAAATAAGTTTTATCTACCATGTTCCAATGTAAAATTTCATAGGGCCCTTATTCAAGAGAAGGAATTTCTACAAAAATGTAGCTGTCAACTTTCTTTGATCTTTACCTCCATCTAATTAATCAGTCTACTTAAAAGGAATGAAGACCTGAAGGACGTGCCCCAACACATCAACTCTGGAATCCTCCCAGAAGTCTCACCGCTCCAAGTGCTTGTCTTCCCACCTCTATGGTCTTGACTTTGGCCCTTCTCCCCAGTGTAGTACAGGGATATCGACCGCCCATCAATCTCTGTTCCCTGCTTTTCTTCAAAGGTTTTGTCAGCATCAGCTTCTGTCTTAAATTCCAGATAAGCAATCCTGTAAATAACGACAGAAAAAAACATTAGTTATCACTTTTTAAAAAACCGTTAACAAGTTCTTTAACACAAATATTTTAAGCTCAGCTAACAATCCTTACTTCAGATATGAGAATTAACAATGCCCTTTGTTTTAAACTGACAAACATACAGGGTTTATGACTATCTTCTACTTTTCAACTTAAACATCATTATGACCCTTTCGTACCACTGCACCAAAGTCTGCCAAATACTTAGAACATGTGCAGGGTAACGCTACCCAATTGCAATGCAATTGCAATTTGTCAATCCCTGACAAATCATGCTTAAGAGTCAGGTACATTCCTCAGATTTTCACACATACCAGTTCATCTTCCAAACTTTTCCTATAAATTAAATACATCAGCTACAATTTACAAATGGGAAATTGAGGCACAGGCTAGGATGTAAGTTAATCTGCCCAAGAGCACACCTGGATCGACATTTCTTATACAAATCACAGTAGTGCATTAGCTTTATTGAAACCCAAATATTCCAGACACAAAACATACCCTTTACTCTTCCCATCTTTGCTGACTAATCTGATCTCCATAGCATCTTCAAACACTTCTTTTAATTCATCCTGAGTGACTTTGTAAGGCAAATTTTTGGCCAAAAGTGTTCTGGCATCTCGATCTAGATTTAAAAAAATAAACAGAAAAGGACCAAAAGAGTCATCATTCAGCAAGCATTTTAAGTTTTATGTCTAAGGACTGTGCTAAGAAACACAGCAACAACAAAACCCTGACAGCAAACCATGCTGGATAAAACAGAACAGGCCGAAGAGAGGTCAACCCACAGCAGGTGCTAAGTTGTTCTGAACAACAACAAAAGGAACATGAACACAACTTAACATATAAAGACAAAATAAAGCATACTTTAAAGAGTAACTGGGAACCTGATCCATCAAATAAAAGGCTCTAAGAGGTTCAAAGTATGCAGAAAGAACCTTCATGGACACTGCAAATGACAATGACTACAAGACCACTGTGCCTGGGAATCAAGTACAGCCTATGCAATTAAATGTGTTAGTTGCATCTAAGCAGTTAGACCATGCTGTCAATTAGACTACTCTCTAGATGTCATCAGTTGCCCTCTTGTTGGCTGTCTCATGGTGACCCCACATACAACATAAGGGAAAAGCCAATCACCAGGCCTTTCCTATTCCTCAGTCTGGAAGTTCCCACTGAAACCTGCCTATCATGGGTGACCCTGCTAGTATGTGAAATACGGCTGTCAAAGCTTCTAGTATCACAGCAGCATATAAACCACCACAGTACTGACAGTCAATGATGGACCCTGCAAAAGCATCCATTAACAAGTTACCCTTCAGTATCACAACGATCAAAAACCCTTCCTACATACCTTTCTTACTGTCTTTTCCCTTTGGTCTCTCTAGTTTAATTTCATTGCCAAAGACTTTTAAACCAGTGAGTTCCAAGGCTTTTTCCAGATCTTCAGCGGATTCAAAATCCACATAGCCGAATTTCCTTTAAGATCAAGAAAGGTAAAGAATTACAGAAGGAAAATCAAGAGTCACACACAACACACATTCTGGGCACCAGCGGCACCAAGTTCATGCAAACAAGGACAAAGTCAAAAAGCACCTCACACAGCGTTAACAGCCAAAGCTCTGCTAACTGTACCAAGACCCAATGCAGGCCCACTACACGGCTTATGGGGTCAGTCTTCCCAATGACAAAGGAATGTGTCTGACCATCAAGACAGGAGATTCTATCTGGCTAAGAACACTATAATGGCCCCTTGGGTCTAATGATTTTATGTTATTCCCAAGAACAAAAGCATCAAATTCTCTCAACTATTAATGAATTATTTTGTACTACACCAAAAGTTAATGAAATTTCAAGTTTAGAATTCTGAAATAAGAACAAATTACTTACCTAGTCATACCAATTCTGACATCTGTAACAGTAAGGTCATTTTTAGCAAAAAGTTCACTGAGGCCACTTTTTAATTCAGGAGCAGATTTGTTGCAGTTCAGGTTTCCAACAAAGAGATTGAAAGCTGAAGTTGGTTCTACGGCTGTACAAAAAAAAAAAAAAAAAACTATCTAGTAACAGTGGAAAAAAAAAAATAATTTCCACTCCACATTTCTATACCCAGCACCATCAGCGTATCACAATGTAACATCCGGTTTCAGTATTAAGTCCCTTTATCACTCATCATTTGTGCTGTGAAGACTGTATGGCCCTCCCCACAAATCCCGCAAGTAGTTACCTTCCACCTTCTGTTTCTTGGCTTCTGGAGCAGCCTTCTGTTTGGCCATTTCCTTCTTCCGTTTTCCAGGTACTTCTTTGACAGGTTCTGTTAAAATTTGAAATGATCTTTGTTATCAAAGAGCAATCACACATATTCAAGTGCCTCCTCATACAAAATGTGGTCAGAGTACTTCAGAAGCTACTTTGATTACCTTCCTCTTCTTCCTCCTCCTCCTCTTCCTCATCATCTTCTTCTTCATCTTCATCCTCTTCTTCCTCCTCGTCATCGTCATCCTCGTCGTCATCCTCGTCTTCCTCCTCATCATCATCTTCCTCCTCAGCCACACTCTTGGCTTTCACAGAAACCACTTTGGCCGCAGGAGCTTTCTTGCCTTTTGCTGGTGTTGTCTCCATTGCCTCCTCTTCAGAGTCTAAGAGAGAAAAGCCATCAGTCCTAGGAAATCTAAAGGACATACCACCCCGTCAACGCTACCAGTTACAGATCACGAGGAAGCAAAAGCCTGTTACGAAAAGTCCTCCAAGAATGTGCTACCAGGCATTAGGCACATGGCATTTCCTTAAGGACAGTCTTCCTGGGCACCACAACCAGCCCAGAGAACCCCTGTAAGGATTTCTCTGACCTCTGAGGTGCCACTTCAGGAGTATGCAGCTGTACCCAGAATCTGAGCCCTATGTGACTTGCAACTAGCAGCTCAGGAACTACCAAGAGAATTCCTTACCATCTTCATCATCATCTTCATCCTCATCATCTTCATCCTCATCCTCCTCATCCTCTTCATCCTCATCTTCTGAGGCAGGAGCAGCTGCTGATGCTTTCATCACTGCTGGCTCAAATTCATCCTCATCTTCATCCTCTTCCTCACTATCTTCATCTTCTTCCTCGTCACTCTCATCTTTTTTGGCATTCTTGCCATTCTTTGCCCCCTTGGCTGGAGTGGTCACTCCCTTCTTGCCGGGGGTGGCCACCATTGCCTTACCTGGGGTGGCCCCCTTCTTGCCAGGTGTTGCTACTGCCTTGGCTGGTGTCACTGTCTTCTTGGCTGGTATGGCTGCTGCTTTTTTGCCAGGGGTGACAGCTGCTTTCTTGGCCGGTGCAGCAACTACCACCTTCTTTGATGGGGACACTACCACCTTCTTTGACGGCATCGTGGTATTCTTCTTACCTTTTTTCTGAGGAATGATGACCTGAGGAAGATGACAAACCTCTAGTTCAAGACCACACACATTAAGGCACTCATAAAAACGTCTAGGGTCATGGCAATAGGTACTTTTAGTTATCCATGAAATTATAGCCCTTATCTTTCAACTCAGGTAAAAGAAATCCTTGTAAACACATAAAATACAAGAAATGAGATCTCCACACCTCATACTTTTAAATGATTCCATCTATTATCTATCCCTATCCAAGTAACTGCTCCAGCTTTGCAGCAGTATAGTATCAACTCTAAAACCACACTGGAGCAGATCCCATCCATCACTGTGTAGCCTTGGGCAGGTTTTAAAAACTTTTTCAGCCTCTGCTTCCTCATCTGAAAACCAACACCAAACTTACATGTTGTTCAAAAGATGAAACGAGTTGATGTAGGTCGAGTACTTACAGCAGCCTTGCACACAGAAAGCTCCAAGTGTAACCTCTATTACAGCATTTGAAGCTCCCACAATGGATGGTATGGGTATACAGCTCACTGAAAGCTCAATTCTCAGGGCCAGAGATTATAAGCTGAATTGTAAATAGCCTAGACAGTCAACCTTGCCAGAACTAACAAACCAAAGAGTATGTGTGTTAATGTAATAAAAAGCACCGTTTATCTACTTTTCAGTCACAATCAAAATAAAGCTACTTTTCTAAATTTAGAAATGGAGTGTTGATACAAAAGTCCCCAAATTACAAATGTAGACTGTCTTCAATATCAATTTGTATATAAATCATAATAGTATGGTAATAAATGTTTTGATGCACAGTGAACATTTTTTATCTACCTCAAATTTTAATATAATAAGCTTGGGGGGGGGGTTGGTCTGTAACTACTGGTTAAATTGGAGGTCCATAACCTAGCAACTGCCTACAGCTGAACATGCCACTAAACTGCACACATTAAAAATGTTGAAATGGTTAAGTATTTTGTTATTAAAAAAGTAGGCAAAACTGAGACACGGAATCAACTAAAAATGGCAACCCTTAATACATACCAGAAAAAATTGTACCACGCTAGTTCTTATGTTACAAAGCTTCTATGCTGTGATACTGATCAACCAATAAGACTTGGGAGCTAAAAAAAAAAGAGCTGTAATAAAGTTATCCCTAAACCTTCTATTATGTCTCAAATTCATATTCAAACACTCAAAAGGTATCCCGGAACGTCAACAAAGAGCTTGCAAGACAACCAATACACAAAACCCCATTAGTTAATATAGCTCTTACATTTTTCACTAGAATTTTCAGACATCCTACACCACCTGTCTCACTCTGGACTCTGTATTTTAACATTAATTCATTAAATCCCATCTGATTACCTCTTCTTCACTGCTTTCCTCGTCATCATCTTCATCTTCTGACATTTCCTCATCTTCACTATCTTCTTCTACTTCCTTGGGGGGAGGAGCCATTTTCTTGGGGTCACCTTGATTTTTACCGGCCTAAAATGGACCCAAACAAATCATTAGCACATTACACTTGTACCAGCTAACACGCCATTTTTTTCGCGTTGTTCTATCATTCCCCAGAATAAAATGCAGTCCTCTTTCTTCCTCAAAATCCACTTTTCATGCCATTCAGTACAATCAGTAAGAACACCATCCCTGAGACAATACTTATGACAGATTTTCAACCTGCTCACGTTTTTCCTGTCAGGTTTCAAAACTAGGAAATCAATTCTAGAGTAAGAAGGCACAGAAACGATCTTCCTTCCTGTCACAATTCTTAAACCACAGCCACGTTTGGAAGAGTTACGTTCCTAACTACCACCATGTTGTCCTGAGTATTTTTTTAACCGACAGGACCCTGCACTGTTGTACTTTGGGTCGCCCTGAGTCGGAATCGACTCGACGGCACCACCTTACGTCGGGAGCGTTTTCTAACCAACAATTCACACGGCTTTACCCTGGAGAAACTATCCTCAGAAAGCCTTGGGTGGTAAATTCTAGCATCAACCTGGTCTGAACTCAATTAAGAACCAGTCTCTCTGTCATCTTTTAACATAACCACCTGTGCTCTTTTCTCTAAGTGTTCCTTTCTTGGAGAAACCACCCTTTCGGACCCGGCTGGGCCACGTGGGGGTGCCTCTCCAGCACCATGTGCGCGCCGGTAACACGCGCCAGTACCTTTTCCGGCACACCACGTGCCCGCTCGCTGGCCCGGCCGGGGACATCCCGGAGACGGCCGGGCCTGCGGGTAAACGAACGCCGCCGCCGCCTCCCGCGCCCCGGCTCCACCGCTCCCCGCTAGAGTACGGTTCTGTCCCGAGACGCGGGAACCCACGCGGCGCGGCCCACGTGGCGGGCAGCGCGCCGGGGCACGTGCGTCAGGAGGCGGGGCCAGCTCGCGCGCGTCGCAGCGGTCCAGCCTCTTCCCTCCACCCCCGGGCCTCGCACCCCCTCCTCGCGCCCAGCCCCTAAGTCTTTCCCCGCCGTACTCCTCATCCCCCGCACCTGCCGGCGCTCTTCTTCTCGCCACCATGTCGCCAAAACCCGCGAGTACCGCCCGCTAATCGCGCGAGACTTCCCTTAGTATGGCGAACCTCGAACGCGCTGGGAACTGCGCGAAGGCCCTCCTCCTCGCGGCGCCGCGCGCGCTCCTCGGAAAGCAGGCCCCGACGCCCGCCCTCGCGCAGGCAAGGCCGCTTACCTTCGCGAGCTTCACCATGATGGCGGCTTGTGACGGCGGAGTGTGTGGAGGGTAAGTGGCGCAGATGAGCCTACACGAACCCAGTCGACGTCGATGGCGGTCGCGGGTGCTGAAGAACCTGGAGCGCGCACGCTTGGCTGCCAGCTACCGCTCGAGACTGAGGCGAAAGACTGAGCCTGCCCAGTAATCGCCTCTGGAAAGGCGACGACGGCGCCCTCGTGACCACGCCTCGACCAACCAGAGCGCGCGTCCATCCCAAGAGCCAATCGGGAGTCCGTACCTGGGAAAACGCGGGGCTAGGCGGGGCGGGACTGGGCGGGCCAAGGAGGCTTGGAGAGGGGGAGGGGACTTGGTGGCGGCGCCCTGGGGGCGGGACTCGCTTTGTGCGAAGCCAGTGCTGATTGGGCCGTGGCCGCGCAGTCCCGCGTCCCCCCGCGCTGCTTGTTTCGCGGCGCCTGCGCGGTGGGACGGACGATTTTGGCGCCGGGTGGGCCCAATCTTGGGGGTAGCGGGACTGATGGTCTGCTGTTCCCGACCGAGTCTTGTTGACTCGGACGGTCTTTGGGGCTCTTGGGATGTCCCACGCGCAGCTCCGCCCCGCACTCCATGTTGTCCGTGTTTTCTGATGAGTCCGAGGCGGCCGCAAGTTCATGGACCACAAGGTTCACTGTGTCCCGGTCGGGTACCCACCTTAGCCGTGTCCGTCCACGGGCCAGTGACCCCTGGGCACAGGTGATTCCCTCCCGGGCTGTGCGCCCGAAGCTGCGTTCCGAAAACTGTTAGTTAGAGTCTCAGCTGATGAGCGCACGTTTAATCTCAGTGGCCTCGTGCGGTGGGTATTTCTCCTCCCTCTGAGTAACAAACTCATAATAGTTTCTGGCCGTCAAAGGGTTTTATAACGGGGGTCGGGAGAGGAAGCTGGGTCGTTTTGACCACCTCACAAGTTCCCTCGTTATTTGGGACCTACCAGTATCATGGCGATCCCATGTGTGGTTGATTTTTCTGTAGGTAGCCAAAGCTTTTTCTTCCAGGGCGTCTCTGGACGCTCTCAAACTTCCACCCTTGGAATTAGCGCCCATTTGCACCACTCCCATGAAGCAGTTGTCCTTGAGTTGCCTATGGCGACCCCCACTGGGCTCCACAGGGTTTCTAGTAGCTGCTTTTTCTAAAGTGGATCACCAAGCTTTTTTCCCACGTGCCTCTGGCTGGACTTGAACTCCCATTAAAATGTTAGGGATGTGAAGCCATTGGTACCAGATGGCCCAGGAGTAGGTCAAAGGCAGAGGCACGGGACATTATCTTCCTACTGTGATTTTTCCAATTATTCGGTGGGTTACTTTGTGGATGGAGTTTCATTTATAATCCGGGCCAAATTTCACCAACCACAACACTTGCTTCCTTTCAGAGCCAGTGTAGGCTCAGCTGCGGCATCTGGTACCTGAATTCCTGATCGGGATACCTTCAGCTTGGATGCGCTTTCCCAGGCAGAGCTGATCTGAAGAATCTCCCCTGGGAAATGGAGCGTGGTGACGGTTCACAGCAGGCAAATGTAATTAATGCCACTGAATTGTATACAAAAAAATGATCTCCAAATGGCTAACTTAAAAAAAAAAAAAAAAAAACAGTCTCCCTTTTGGAATGCTAATTCAGGTCTGGGTTAGGGCCCTGGGTTTTTTATTTTAAGAAGGGCCCAGGGGGATTGCTGTGAACAATCAGGTTACTTTGCAATTCTTTTCTGGCGAGCTCCTGGGACCAATAAAGAGGAAACCCTTGAGCTCTCTGGTCTGGGGGTGGGGGCTGGGGCCAGGACTGCACTTTGAATTCTGATGATCTGTGGAGAGCCTCGTGAGGAGGCTCACACATTGGACTGTAGGGGAAGGGCAAATAGGACACTAACCAAGTGACCAGCAGAGGACAGCACTAGTCCAGGCACAGTGGAATAAGACCCTGGGAGTTTCCAATTGTTTTGACATAGGACGCTTTGTGGAAGAGGCTGGAAAGAGAAACAGTGGGTGTGACTAAGGGACAGGGACAATTCTAGAAATACGTCATTCATACCTGCTTATATGCCTCCTGAGAAGCCACCCCCTACCCCCAACCTCACCCTTCACCTCTAGTGTGAAGTTATGAGGCAACTCCTGGCAACCCAAGTGCTAATGAAAAGCTGCCCAGCACCACATTGGCCCCATGATCCTTTGCAGATCAGACTTCAGTGTGAAGTGCACCTTGAAACTCACTATCACATCGCCCTCAGTGAGTTCTCTGTAGGTACTTCTCACGACCTGGTGTATTTTCTTGTCTGCTGCTACCCCCCCACACACACCTCCATGAGAACACATGCTCTGTTCTCTGTATTCCTGGCACCCAGAACATCGCCTGGCAACAGTAATGTTGAAAAGCATTTGCTAATGAAAGGATGAAGTACAGGTAGCCCCCGACTTATGATGGGGTTTTGTTCCCATTGTATGTTGGTTTTGATGTAAGTTGAGTAAGACTTTTTTTTTAGTTTCCATTATTGCCTTTCATTACCATTATCTTTATAAATCCCATCTTTGTCTTTTGGGGTTGGAAACATTACATCAAGGCATAACAGCAAATTATATGCTGAAACATCTTACATAGTCCATATTACTGATGATAAAAACCAAACCCAGTGCTATCAAGTCAATTCATAACAACCCCCATTGAGTTTCCAAGTCAGTAAATCTATACAGAAGTAGATTGCTTCATCTTTCCACAGAGTGGCTGGTGGGTTTGAACTGACAACCTTCTGGTTAGCAGTCAAATGCCTTAGGCACTATACCACTAGAGCTCCCATTACTAATGATAAGAGATGTAAAAATAAAAATGGATGGACCTAAGTGCGATTGGTCATAACTCAAACGTGTCCTGAGTCAGGAACTATAGTATTTGGGTAGGATAAACAACCGAGCCAGTCAGTACAGCTTAGGGTTCAAGTGTGTTGTTTTTTGAATCCTACAGTCCAGAGTAGAAAGAGTTAATACTTAGTACTTACATACTAAAAAGATGACTACTTGCCATGAGATAAATTCTAACTTGTGCTAACCCCACATGTTTCAGGGTGCAAAGGGTTTTCAATGACCTTTCAAAAGTAGATGGACAGGCCTGTCTTTCTAGGCACCTGTGGGTGGATTTGAACTGCCAGTATTCCAGTTTGGAGCCAAGCATTCAATGATTTGCGCTGCAGAGAGACTCCAGAGTACTTACAGTAAAACCTGTGAAAGCCATAATGTTTGTAAGATGGAGAACTCAAATGCTTTCCATTAATAGAGACTAACAGAAAAGTGGTAAGACTGCACTCCGTCGAAGGCAGAAAAACTGAGACCCCGAAAACAAGGCAGTTTCTTTGAATTTTGGCTCTTAGAGGTTTCACTGGCTAATGCTTGCTAAGTGCCAAGTCCTCTTCTAGTGGTTTATATACTGCCTTAATCTTTAAAATAACCTTAGGAAAAGGTGTAGCCAACACAGAAGCAGCGGTCTCGAAATCAAGGGATGTTATTGCATTGGGCAAATCTGTGGCAAAAGACCTGAAAATCTTTTTAAAAGCAAAAATGTCTCTTTGAACACTAAGGTGGGCCTACCCCAAGCCATGGTATTTTCAGTTGCCTCATATGCATGTGAAAGCCGGACAATGAAAAAGGAAGACCGAAGAAAAATTGATGCCTTTGAATTTGAATTGTGGATGGTGTCAGAAAGCATTGAACATTCCACGGGCTGCCAAAAGAGCAAACAAATCTGTCTTGGAAGTACAGCCAGAGTGCTCCTTAGAGGTGAGGCTGGGGAGGCTCTGTCTTATGTACTTTGGACACGTTAACAGGAGGGACCAAGCCCTGGAGAGAATCACCGTGCTTGGTAAAGTCGAGGGTCAGCAGAAGAGAGGAAGACCCTCAATGACATCGATTGACACAGTGGTTTCCACAGTGGGTTCAAACACAGCAACAACTGTCAGGATGGCACAGGCCCCAGCACCGTGTTGTTCTGTGAACATAGGGTTGCTGTGAATTGGAACCAACTCCGTGGCACCTGACAACAACGTTTTACAGAAGTTGAGGACCACAGAGAGAAAATAACTTGTTCAAGGTCACAAAACTAGTAAGTGGCAGGGCTATTCCAAATGAGACCCTGCTCTGTGATCCTGGTTATTTATAAAATGGGGCCAATAATAGTACCAACCTCTTGGATTTTGCCTCAGTTATCTAATGCTACTGTAACAGAAATACCAGAAAATGGATGGCTTTAAGCAACAAGTTTACTCTCACAATTGTTGTTGTTGTTATGTACCATTAGACCCGACTCATAGCAACCCCTCGTTGGGTTTCTGAGGCAGTATCACTACAGAAGTAGGATTGCCCAACCTTCCTTCCGAGGAGTGGCTGGTGGGTTTGAACCCCCAGCCTTCTGGTTAGCAGTCAAGTGCCTTAGACAGTACGCTGTCACAATTAGGAGGCTAGAAGTCTGAATTCAGAATGCTGGCCTTCTCTCTGGTGGTTCTGGGGGAAGGTCTTTGTTTCTCCGGTTTCCCGTTCCTGCTTCCTTGGCGATCTCCATGTGTCCCAGCATCTATCCTGCCCCATCTCTTTCCTGCTTGTTTAATCTCTTTTTCTATCTTAAAAAAGATCAGATTCAAGATACACCCTACACTAATCCTGCTTCATTAACATAACAGAATGCTCATTCCCCACGGGATTGTAACCACAATTATAGAAGTTAGGATTCACAACATGTATTTTGGGGACAATTCAGTCTGTAACAGGTGGTTATGAGAACTGAGGGAAATACTGCATGTGTGTTTTTTTCTAAGGACGCATTATAAACCCTCTGTAAATACTAGCCATAGTTGTTACTGATGGAGTTGGTGATTTGGATGGAGACATAGAAAGGATAAAACGTCCATTTTCTGTGGAGTGGACATACACTGGTGGGGCGTGTTCCGTGGAGTGTGTGTGTGTGTAGAGTAACACAAGCAGCAGGTGCAGGGAGGAACTAATGATTCCTGA